GAACTCTTGAAGGGAATCTTCTAGGAAGCCGGCACCTTTGAGCTGGAAACTCTGATTTGGGAACTTTGAGGAGTAGGAAAATGACCCTGAAGAAACTGGCCTCTTGCCTAGAAAGACACCTTCAAGATTTATTAGAACTCCATAATAAAGAAGGTAAAAGTTGGAATTCCTATTGGATCTTATTGTAATACCAGGAATGTGCCTCCTGCATTTGAATTTAATCAGAGATTGCATGTACTTGAATAATCCCCAGATGTTCTTTAAAACAAACAGCCTTTTTAAATGTAAAATAATGTAAGTGGAATGCAAACAAGGAAAAAGAAAATAATAAAAGGATGTACTGCCTTGAGAACACATCTTCCAGAGGCGACAGTTATAAATGAATACAAAGTAGAAAACGAATTTCTGTCTTAGATGTTTTCTAAATTTTCTAATTTGATTTGAAGTATTTAGATGCAATTGCTACAGCACATTAAAAACCAGACTGTCATCAGGGCTCTAGGATGTGTGAAAGGATTGGTTCGGTGGTTAGGAAATCACATCTGCCAGCTTCTTCACAACTCAGGCATGTAATTCATCTGGTCCTGGTGATTTGAACTGATCTAGGGTGGGCAGACGTTCTCTTACCATTTTCTGGCCTATTTTAATTTGTATTCCTAGCCTGCCTTTCACAGTTCTATTTTTGGTAGATTGGGCTATTTTTTCCTTCTGCATGCAGATAGATGCAAAGAATGAATTAAGCAGCTCTGCTTTCTCCCTGCTGCGTGTAACTTCCTTTCCATCTTCTCCCATTAGTGGACTGATGGTTTCCTTGTCTTTTTTCTTGCTTTTAATCTGTTGAAAGAACATTTTTAATTATTATTATTGACATTTCTTGCAAGCCTTAGTTCATTGTGAGCCTTAGCTTTCTTTACTTCATCTGTGCAGATTTGGTCTATATGCTGGTATTCTGATTAGTTATGAGTCCCTCTTTCCATTTTTTTTATACCTATCGTTTTTGTCTTTCAGTTTATCAGAGAGTGTTTGTGCAACCATGCACAACCTTCTTCTTGGATTTCTTATTTTTCCTTTTCAGTGGTATTGTGTTGGACTGAATTTTTATAATCACATTTTTCAGAGTTTCTAAAACTTCTGGAATTGTTTTCCCTTTTAAGATTTTCATCCATGGATACCCCACCCTTCAAAAAAAAAAACCTTTCTCTAAGTTTATTGAAATCGGCTCTTTTAAGATACAACAGAACAACAGAGTTGGAAAGTCTTCTAGTCTAACCCATCCCATTCCAGACAAGTGGCTGGTCAGTCTCTTCTTAAAAGTCTCCATTATTTGAGCACTCACAACTTCTGAATAATTAATCAGCCATTCCACTGATTAATTATTATCACTGTCAGGGAATTTCTCCCTAGTTCTAGGTTGCTTCTCTCCTTGATTAGTTGCCATCCATTGCTTCTTGTCTTGTCTTCTGGTGCTTTGGAAAATAGATTGATCCCCTCTTCTTTGTGGGAAATATTGGAACATCCCAGGGATGTGCAGTCAGGGGAGGCAGGGGAGGCAGAGCCGCACCACTGTCATCATGAAAAGAAAAAAAAATGTAAAAGGAAAAAGGCAAGAGCAGAGTTGAAATCCCCTCTGAAACAGCTGGAAAAGGTACGTGTAGGTTGGAGGGAGGGGGGAGGGATTCAAACTTCATCCTC